TTTAATTTATAAGCCCTAGTTAAGTGAAACCATGCCCTCCACCATTGTGCAGCATTGTGCAACAACCAGAAGACGATATTACTGCACAGTATTTGCATAAATATAGGTTGTATATGGAAAAAAAAAATTCCCTGAAAATAAGCCCTGAGTTTTTTGCAGCAAAAATTAATATAAGACCCTGTCTTATTTTCGGGGAAACACGGTAGCATTCAGTGACTACTATCTTAAGGGAAATCATAACTAGCTGGAAAATTCTACAGTGCTGTAGCTACAAGTCTAATTCTAATCTAACTGTGGGGTTAGTGAGAAATTACATTGAATCCAGACTTAGACACATATTTTCAAAAGACCAATTGAAACCAGAAGTTGCAAAGCCAATATTGCTCCCAATGTCCAATGCAATGCAAATCTATGCATGTGCAAGCACAAGTTAAGACCCAGGAACTGTGCATATGAAAACTGAAAATGATCACTGAAGTCCACTCCTGAAATCTCACATTAGCTTCATCACAAAATCCTAGCACACATGGAGCAAGATTTCCCTGTTACATCCAACTCAAGAAACTCTGGTTTACTCTGAGCTATCCGATAAATAAACCAGGATTGGGGATGAGGGGAGGAAAGAGAAACAAGCAGAAAAATAAACCAGGAGAGGAGCACTTAGTCCCAACATATATTATGGGTTACAAAATACTGAATGACCATGGTAACAAGATATATTAACAACCCAACCCCAAATAGATGTAGCCCATACTTTTTAACATGTATGAGGAACACATGGTTAAATCAAAAGTCCTCAGTATCAGTTACTAAGATTTGTGGTCTTATGTTTCATTTCAGGTTCAGATTAATCCTTTACATTTAAAAACATATGAGAAAGGAAAATATATTCAGAGCTGAGTTCCTCCTTTCTGCAATGACATTGCTGTGTAGAGCCATGGCGTCTCCTTTCTGCTGCCAACCAGAGTCAAAGGTCAGGCTGCTTGCCCCTTGAATTCCTTGTCATCACCGTGTTCTTGTCTACTTTTTTGTTCACTGACACAACATATGAGTCTAAGCTCTCTTGCCTTCAGATTGTCTCTGAAGTACAAAGAACAATATACAATGGCCAGAACCTTGAGTCTGGTGGCAAAAATCTATTGGCATAAATTTCAGCAGCAAGTTGCCACTAATGAAGGTGTACGTGTTGATGTTTGCTGTCACGCACCATTCATATGAATCACTGCAACACCCATGCTGACTGCCAAACTTGACATCAGATGTCTATGCTGACTTTCTAACTGAAGGCAATCACAACTGAAAGTTACACTGATAAATGTTTGCCAGTGCAATTTTTCAGTTGAATTCTGGCCTTTTTTTAATTAAAAAAAAACTGCAATGAGATTAGTGCTAGATAGCAAAAAATAAAGTGGCTTAATGTTTATTTTTATTTATTTAAAATGTTTTTCTCTGCCTTTCTCCTTTAAAAGGACCTGAGATAGCTAACATAATTAAGAACACAATATTAAAAGCAAAAAACAGTAGCTATATACATATTAACAAGAATCAGAAAAATTCCACACTAAAATGGTAAACAAAATCAATACCAAAACCAGATTCACAGCAACAAGACACAATACTCCATTTAAAAACCCCTCCCAACAGTCAATTACTGTGGTTGGATTCCAAAGGATCTCTTGTATGGAGAATTAGTGAAGGGAAATCACCCCAGAGGGAGACCACAGCTGCGATACAAGGACATCTGCAAGCGGGATCTGAAGGCCTTAAGAGTGGACCTCAACAGATGGGAAACCCTGACATCTGAGTGTTCAGCCTGGAGGCAGGTGGTGCATCATGGCCTCTCCCATTTTGAAGAGACTCTTGTCCAGCAGGATGAGGCAAGCCGCAAAAGCAGCAAAATCAGGGAGCTGGACAGGGGACAGATTGGATTTGTCTTCAGTGTGGAAGGGATTGTCATTCTTGAATTGACCTCCTCAGCCACACTAGACGCTTTTCCAAGTACTCCATACAGAGCACATTACTATAGACTTTTGAGACTGAAGGATGCCTATAGGACAGCACATTGGATCTGCCTTATCAAAAGATGTCAAGAATCTCACAACTGATGAGAAAAACCCATAACAATCATTAGATCCCGGCCGTGAAAGCCTTCACGAATACAAATCTCACAACTGCTATTTTTTTAATGAGGCAGTGGAGAAACAGATTTGCCTAACAGCAGAATGGACCACAAGTGCTGGGACTCAGATTTTAATGCAAACTGGTGAACTTGCTCTCTACTACTAGAAATCTGAGCATTAGCCCGGAAGACTTTAAGTCCTACGCTCACTGTAAAAAATATATATGAAAGGCATGTGGATAAGGCAAAGATATTGGTGCTGGAGAAGAACTGGGGAAGGGTGACATAAGGCGTCATAAGAAAATGTTACTACAGTATTTGTAACCCATGTGGAAAAGGGCACTAGAATATCCTGGAATAAATGACACCTTGGATGTGCAGAGCAAAATAGTATGAAGTCGGAACAAGCACTAAGGCAGTGGTTCCCAACTCTGGATTTCCAGATGTTCTTGGAGTACAACTCCCAGAAATCCTGACTGGCACAGCTGGTGGTGAAGGCTTCTGGGAGTTGTAGTCCAAGAACATCTGGGGACCCAAGGCTGGGAACCTGTGCTCTAAGGGGACCAGGCTTCAGCTCACCCACCTTTGACGAGCCCTCGTTTTAACCCCATGGTCCCCAACCTTGGGCCTCCAGATGTTCTTGGACTACAACTCCCAGAAGCCTCCATCACCTCTGCTGACCAGGATTTCTGGGAGTTGAAGTCCAAGAACATCTGGAGGCCCAAGGTTGGGGACCCTCGTTTTAACCCACCGCCAAAGGTTGCTACGAACTTAGCACGTGTGTGTGGGGGGGCACACGTGCTCACGGGAGTACAGACGGTTGGGGGGGCGGTTGAGGAGCACGCCCGCCGCCTTCGCTTCTTCGGCATGTCCTGCGTATTTCCATTCGTCCATCAACCCAGAACCCTCTCCAGGGAGGTTGACCGCGAGGAGGCCGAGGGACGGTCCTCAACCGCCCGCCGGCCCACCTCCTTCCTCGCGTCCCCGCTGCCCGTCAGGAAGAGCTCCAGACGTGCCGTTAACGGAAGCTTCACGACCACCCCACCGGCGGCGCTTGTGGGCCGGCTTCTCTTCAGGCCTGCTTGTTGTTGTTCTTGTTCCCCCTCCAGCCGCTTTAAGGGCTTTCCTGCCTCCCTGGATTCCTTCTGGCTTGAATGAGGGGGGAATAAGAAAAAAACACGAGGTGAAGCCAAGCCAGGAACCCTTCCCTGAAGGAGGAGGTAGGAACAGGAGGCTGCCCTCTCGAGGCCCTGGGTTGGGGTGGACGGGCAGATAACAGTCCCTACCCCTGCAGAGAGATCTTCCGCTTCACATCCCGCAGGGGGGACCCGGCGGTTTCGTCCTCCACGCTCGCCACTGCCACCAGCTCGCTCGCCATAATCACCACTGGCGCGCGTGCTTTCTTCCTCACTTAAAGGCCTAGAGCGGCTCATCGGTCTTCCGGATAACTAGACTCGCGGAGACAGGAGGCTGCCCCCTGGCGGTTGTTCGGATGAAAAACCCTCAACCGAAGGGTGGAGAAGGAAAGCGGAGGCGGGCGGCCCGCACTGTATTGCATTGCCTTGTGAGGGTGAAGACGTTTCTTGTGCATCCCGTGGAGTCTCTAGTCGGCTCCATGAAATGTGATGATTTAAAATGCCACAAGACGTTGTTTCAGCTACAATAGACTAACACACACTGCTGCTCTGAAAGCGGCATATGTGTGGTGTAACTGAGAGCTTCATGGTTTCCTCTTGTGTACATGGCCACAAAAAGGCCATTCTGTACAGTATGTGCATCTGCTTTTGTCATTGTTAAAACTATGGGCAATTCCAAAGTTCTTTTATCAGTAATAATTATTATTACACCACCTCAGCTTGTTAACATGTGTTTGAAAAAAAGTCGTATCAGTTTAGTTGTTGACCTTACTGTGTCCAAATTACACCAGTTTAGGGCCTGTTTACTCAGGCTCTTTTGGATTCGGCTAGTGGGTGCTAAATAGGGTCGCTTGGGGTCGGGTAGAGGTCTGGTATGCCATTTGGTGCAACCAAATAGCATATGGTACCTCAAGCAACCCTATTTGGTCTGGCTCCTTCCACTAGGAATTTTCCATATGATGAGGTGGCTTAAGATAGTCATTTCATTATATTGGCAAATTAAACACCTCTGCTCTGCAAAGGGGCGGATGAAATCAATTTTTAAAATACTTTAATAGGGCACCACAAATATCCTGCAAACATATATAAATATAAATATATCTTTTAAAATAAACACTGGGGTAAAGTCTTCTGTTCATTTAAAAAGAGAAAATGCTTCCTCTTGGAAGTGGGAGGAAACAGGAGGCAACTTTTTTTAATAAACATTTTTTTCTCTTTTTAAATAAACACTGGGGTAAAGTCTTCTACCCCTTCATGGATTGCTGCCTTGTTGTGGTGAAGGGGCTTGAGTAATTCGGAGAAGCTACGGGCTATGCCATGCAGGGACACCCAAGACGGACAGTTCATAGTGGAGAGTTCTGACTAAACGCAATGCACCTGGAGCAGGAACTGGCAAGCTACTCCAGTATCTTTGCTAAGAAAACCCCATGAACAGAAACAAAAGGCTAAAAGATATGAAGCTGGAAGATTAGTCCCTAAGGTTGGAAGGCATCCAACATCCTATTGAGGAAGAGCGGAGGACAAGGACAAGTAGCTCCAGAGCTAATGAAGTGGTTGGGCCAAAGCCGAAAGTACGCTCAGCTGCGGACATGCCTGGAAGTGGAAGAAATGTCCGATACTGCAAAGAAAAATACTGCATAGGAACCTGGAATGTAAGAGCTATGAACCTTGGTAAGCTGGATGTGGTCAAACAGGAGATGGCAAGATTCAACATTGACATCTGGGTGTCAGTGAACTAAAATGGACAGGAATGGGCAAAGCAGACCGTTGGTCCCATGCCACAAGCATGGAGGACCTTGAGAGAGAGACTCCCAGGTCCCTAGCCAGTACGTGTGGGCCACTGCTGGTGAAGGAAAACCCACTGCCTGTTAAGGACAGCTGCAGAATGATGTGATGGCAGGTATAGAAGAGCAGGGGTTGCAGAGGTCACAGTTGTCATCAACCACATCATATGAAGGGGAGATGTGAGAGGAAGCAGTCATGCACTGGGACCCCATCTTGTAGGCCTCCATAGAGATCCAAGCAGGGATAGAGGATGAGAGCAGCCACCTCCTCCTGCTCAGCTCATTTGGCCATGGAAAGGGTCAGGGGCCTGAGGCTGTGACAAGGCAGCCACCACCTGATCAAGCATCACCCTAGCCTTGGTGTCCTCACTGCCCGATGGGAGCTGCAGAGCTTACCCTATCCCAGCTTCAATGCTCAAGATGCAAGTGGCAACAGGTGTGGCAAAGGAGGCTCCAAGAGGAGCAGTGCCACAGATCCCAGATCCCATCACCAGCCTTTACTAGCCCTCCCTAAAAGGACTTCATCCTAGAGTTGGACTTATACTTGTCCGGATCTGGACTTTTGGGGACTCCAATGAAATCAACTAGAACCCCAGACTGACTGACTGTACCCAGGGGTAGTGCTGGAAACTCAACCCCCTGGGAATGCAGAGGAAGGCGCAGTAGGGGCTGACTCTGTGCCTTTAATAAAAGATGTGTGTGACAAAAACCAGGCTGGAACCCATAGAATTATTGCCAGGGGACTCCTCAGCCCCTGGATGGGGGGATGGGAAGGGACTCAAAATATGACTGATGCTTCTTAGCATGCATATATGTATGGTTGTGCAAAGCAGCTAAAGAAGCATAGGAGATGCAAGGAGGGGGAACTCTTCATGACTTTTCTCACACCCCTTTCTCGTTACACAAACACATACTGCCCAGACAACAATAATCATCAAGATCAAGTAGGCCACGACTTAGCTCTGGAAGTGCTTCTTTGTAGACCTAGATGAAAGAAGTCATGTTTTCTGGTTCCCTCCCTTTTTAAAAAAATAAATTCCAACTCTCAGAAGTGGACTAAAAGATTCTGTCTGAATCTTAAAACTTGTTTAGATTATACAGTATGCATTTAACAGTAGGGCTGAATTGCAAATGATCCTTAACTCTTGTCTTCTGCAAATGTAAAATTATTTGAAAGACTGCAGTTGACAGCAATCAACTGATTTATTTACTTCCCAGTGCTGGTGTATTCCCAGCAGAAACATCTGCAATAATGAATCCACTCACCAGTGGGTGAACTATTAAATCCAGGAAGGGTGTAGAGTTCCTTGTACAAGCAGCAGTATTTTCAAATCCAGATGCATAAAAAACATGAGTCAGGTCCCCAAATGCATCTTTTCCTCTTAAAACAAACATGTGGATTGTTAACATCTGTTCTCTAGTTTCTGAATGTTTAGAACATGTGGTCCTATTTATAAGATCAACGAAGAATTCCCCCTTCCCTCCCTGCACCTTTCTTTTACAATCTTAAAAATCACAAGTTGACAGACTTTGAGAACACGTGGCAGAGGCTGGTTATGCACAAACTCTGGGGCGTAAACCAAAAATATATGCTTCTTAAGTTCAGCACATTGACACACGACAGCAAAGCTGGAGTGCCCTACAGGCAAACTGTTGTAGGGTGTGGCATCTTGTAATTGCACTTGCCTCTGACAGTTTCCCCACCATCCCCTTCTTCAAAGCTTCATTTGAACGGTAATGTTCATTTGAACATAACTGGGATTGAGGTAGTCAATTCCATAAATATAAAGTGCACAACTTCAAGATGCAGCTGGTATTGATGGGGCTGCATATATACTGTACTTCCCCACTGGAAAAACCTCCTGCAAGTAGAAAGCTAGCAGATCTAGAACACTGTGTGAAACTCTGTTTTCTATGTGTAGAAATGTGTTTGCTTCCTTTTTATAAAATAGAAATCCAATTCAATATCCTTTCTGGAACTTTAAATTACAGTATATAGTTTAGATTAAACATACCGTATTTTTCACACTGTAAGACATACTTTTTTCCCACAAAATAGGGGAGTGGAAAGTCTTATGGAGCGAAGAAAACAGATTATTTTTTCCTATTTTCCTCTCCTAAAAATTTGATGCGTCTTATGGAGAGGTGCGTCTTATGGAGCGAAAAATACGGTAACTTGGCCTTGACTTTACAGAAAGAGTAATTTAGGTTCCTATGGCATTTATGAATATAGGTAAAATAAATTTGCAATGGACAGAGAAAACTTAACATTGATTTCCTTCTCTTCCCATACATAAAGACAATAGCAGATTAAACACTGGTGACAACACAGATTGACATTTTTTAGGTATTCTACAAGAAGATTGACTTTTTATGTAAACTCCATTGATTTAATGAGTCTACTGCGATTCATAGAATCATAGAATTACAGAACTGTGGAGCTCGAAGGGACCCCAAGCATCAGTGAGAACAATCCCCCACCAAAACAGGAAATCAACAATAAAAGCATATCTGGCAGATGGTCATCCAACGTCTGTTACAAGTTTTCAGCCAGGGAGAGTCTACCATCATCCAAAGTAGTCCATTCCGCTTTTAAACAGTTCTTACTGCCAGAAGTTCTTCCTAATGTTTAGTCATAATGCCCTTTCTTAGCAGTTTATTGCCAACAGTTTAATGACTAAGCCAAAGTTGAAATTAATATACTTCTGAAAAAATGTAGTAAGAAAAAAACTCCCAAGAAACTGAAAGATTTAAGATTATTATAATTTAATGGCAGCTATTTAAATATATGCTGTATTAACATTTTGAACAGTTACAAAATATTTACAAAATACATCATTGTAGATTGCCTTGGATAGTTAAAATATTTAACTGCAGTCCAAAAAGTTTTAGAAGACCATTGTATGTAGCCCTTCTACAACTACAAAATCCTGTTTTTCTCTAAAAGCTCCAGATACAAAGTCCTGTCTTATGCACCTCTTCCACGTCTCCAGACAGAAATATTTAAAACAAGATTTTCACATAAATAATGTTTTCGCTCATAATGATGTGCGTGGGCATTTTTTTTAAAAAAAGACACAATTTTACAATGAAATTATCTTGATGTAACCAGCACATAAAGTCTGAAATAAGTAATAATAATTAAAAAAGAAAAAAGTCATCTTGACTAAAGCCACGAAACACTTTGTGTTATACAGAGAGCACCAGGCAACACAAACAGGAAACACGTAGGAGGTAGTGTATCATCTGTTAAGATTTCTGTGTCCAAAAGTACCATAATGAAACTTAAATGTTTAAGGAAAAGATTTATTTTATGGTGGTATAACTCACTGTCACAAGTATAATACAAGCTATTGCACATTTGGGAGCATTAGCCAGGGTTGCTCCTTAGTACTGCATTCTTCCATCTTTTCTTAAGGTGTCCTAGACAGTGCTATTAAGAATAGTCAAAACACTGCTTTTTCTGAAGAATTTCCACATAAAAGTCTAATTTTCATTTCCAGAGAATACCATGAAAAGCACCACTTAAAAATTAAATAGTTTATTCATGCTGTCAAGGTCTTTCTCTTTTTGAAAAACAATTTCTCCTTCTTAGGAGGAAGTCTTTTTCTTCCTGAGATTCTTTAAGGAATTACCAACAATTTTTTTCCTTATAATTCTTCTATAGTTGTTATTGCTCCTTGAGGCAAAACTGGGATGATGTGAAAAACACAGCTGGACTCTAGATGCCTAGAGGAAACAAACTGAACCGCTCTCGATGTAATGCTGTTGACCTTGTTTGAGACGAGGAAATTTATGCACCTGAACAACAGGAAGCTGATTGGTGTCTTGAGTATGAAAAAGGAATTGGGTTTTATGCCAGCTGCCATCTTGAATCTGTAATACATAGAGCAGATGCATCAGTGAAAAAAATGTTAAAAAGCAGGTTGAAATATGTAAACTGATTTTAATTTTTCCTACTGTTAAACACATGGGTGGGTATTTGGCTCTCCAGAGGTTGTTGGACTGCAACTTCCATCAGTCCTAGCCAGCAAAGTCAGTAATGAGGAAGACTGAGTGCTCTTGTCTAAGAACAAGACGTGGAGGGTTGCGTTTGTCCACCCCTGTTCTGGGCAGAAAAGCACCACGTAAGCATAATGTGTCATGGCTTTCTCTTCCTTTTGTCCTAGGACTTCAGAGTAGCCAAGAATATGTCTCTGATCTAGACCCTGACCAGGCTCACTGTTTGTTAGAGTCAGTAAGATGGCTGCAACAGTTGCTTCTGGATCATTCCTGGTTCTCTGTAAATGTATACAATATATGTTATGTTATTTTATAGTTTCTTAATACTGTAGTGAAAATAGTAGCACAGAGTAAATCTGACAAGGATTTGAAATGTAGAGTGATGTAATTCCTTATTTTGCAATACACTTAATACTCAAACTGCTATTTTAAAATGTTATATAAAAGATCACCATTTTATATTCTACAAAGTTGAGAGTATATGAATCATAATAATGATCTTGTACAATTTATTATGAGAAAAGCAATGTCTAGGGTGGAAGAGAATTTTGAAAACGTGAAGTTTCGATTCCTTCCTTCCTTCCTTTGCCAGTCAGTCAAAAGTTGTAAGTTCAGTGAAGGCTAATGAAAAGTGAACACCTGCAGAGAGCAATCTGTGAGATTCTGCAGGAGTACATTAGACTTTCCTGCAGAAAGAGAGATCTCAGAGAATCTCAGAAAAGCTGCACTTTTCAACAGCTGTACATTGCATAGATTATCTTTTTCATATCATAAAATTGCATTCACTACTCATCAGAGTTTTAAAAATAGCCAAAGTAGCAGTGAATATGACAGGAAGCTTTGGGTTCAAATCCTAATATGTATTTGTGAAATTTACTGCATGACCATAGGCTACATGCTATTATTCAACTGGACCTATCCTTCGGAGTGGGATAAAACAAAATGCATCTCATTTGGATTAAGAGTGGGATATAAATGTAATAATATACGTAAGATGTGTGGGTGGAAAATGGTACAAATCTAAGCAATTGGAAAATGCTGATTCGGTAGCATTTTAGCACCTACTCTGCACAGCTTCCAGAGTTTTAAGGGTTTGTCATCCTGCCATCTGTCTCCACACTAAGGTCAGTGAGAGTTGCAAAGAACAAATAATGACAAGACCAGATCATGTGCAAATGGATACTTTTTGGCTGTCTTAAATAAAAAACATGAAGTATTTGGAGTACAACATCTTGTTCATAAACCAGAGGTGATCCAATACCCATAGGAAAGAGACAAGCCTTTCCAAGTTTCCATAGAACAGTCCTAAATGTTCTGACTTTTTAAAGAAATTAAACTTTCCATTTCTGTGATTGATTTAGGACATGGGTGGCCCATATTTGGCACAGGTCTGTACGTAGCAAAAGCAGCAGCAGCAGCAGCTTCTGGTCTGTACGGATGAGGCAATGGTCATGTCAGATCTCCTATCCTGCTGTCACCCCTGGTAGAAGGACTGGTAGTGGGAGGTGATGGAGACAATCATATAGTAATGCTGCTTGCTCTCTAATGGAGTCAAATTATCCAGAGTCACCAGAGGAGACATGTAGCTCTGGCAGTGTGGTGGTGTAGAGATGGGTCCTCTTTGAGCTTGTATAGTGAAGGAGTAGATGGGTGGTCAGGATAGAGGAGGATGAAGTGTAGTTCGGGTCTGCTCCCCCATCTCCCAGCATCAATAGCAAGGAGAAGGAGAGTGGAGGCTGGGCAAAGTCCTGTGGATCTGAGGGAGCTGCCCGAGTTGAGGGCATTTGTAATGGTTGAACCTATGTATTGGGAGAGGCAACTGGTGCAGGGTGTGGCACTTATCTCTGGGTCTGCAAGGGAGTCAATGTCAAGAAGGCAGGATCTGTTGATATAGAGTTGATCTGGGCCTGAAATGAGATGCTAGCAGTGGAAGAGACTTAGCACGGGGGTGGAGTGGGGGTCAGCAATGGAGGAGGGATATGGCATAAAGTAGGGAGGCAACTGGGTGATAATATCAAGTGTAGGGATTTTCACATGGTATCCAAAGGGAGATGATAACAATAAGAAAGTAAAGAATGAAAAAGCAAAAGTTGATAGTGATATTGGTATTGTTGAGACTAAGAGCAAGATTGAGAGAAAGACCTACCACACTGAGGATGGCAAGGGTTCCTAAATGGTAAAGAAGATTGATACCACCTGGAGGAATGTTGAGACAGAGTCTTCAGCTGGAATGTCGTTGTCAAGCTGGCATGCAAGACAGAGGACATATCAGAATATATGACATCAAAGAAGGTGAGAGGCCAGCGGAGATGAGCACTTGTCAAGGTAGGTAGGAGGTATGGGAAGTTGGTGGGAAGGTAAGTATAGTCCTCTGCAGGAGGAATGGTGCTAAGGCTCAGAAAAGAGAGTCTGGAGAGTCATGGACAAGGATTCCAGGAATGGTGCTAAGGCTCAGAAAAGAGAGGCGGGAGAGTCATGGACAAGGATTCCTTAGATAGAAGATATGGTGAACAGGAGTAGCAGCAGGAAGCTATGGAGTATTCAGCTAGCTCTTGAAGTAGGCGTCCAGAACCTGGTCGTCCAACAGAGTCTTGGCATTAAGAGGGTGCTAATGGTCCTTGCTTGAGATAGAAGAGGGAGATAGCAGAAGGGGAAGTACCATATTGAGCACTGAGAACAGGGCTAGAGGCTTCAGTGACAGTATGACATTTCCAGGGGATACAGCAGGTGAAAGTCCAATTAGTCAGTCCAAAGTCAGAAGTCCGGGAGATACAAAACAGATGCCAAATTGTCAAAGCCAAAACACAAACCGTAAGGTCAGAGTCCAAGAGCCAAGGGTCAAGTAAGCAAAGTTCAAGATAGCAGGAACGTGGACACAGGCCAGAGAATGAATTTGTTATTTCCAAGCCTTCTAGGTACAAATTATATAGGAGCAGCAACCATCAAACTCTTAGAAGCCTTCCATCCTGTTAAAACTCAGGACTGGTTGACCTGATGTTCCTGTGGGAAGCATTCGTGCGAGCTTCGTATCTTCGTGTCATGACTCTTTGCTGAAGCTTGTCTCTTACTCTGGCTACTGGGGGAGGAGCATCTGGTGGTGATTCAGCTGTCTGTGCTTCGAATTTCCTCAGCTGAAATTAACCCCTCAGATGCCACATCTTCTTCGGCTGAACTCATGACACTATCCCCCCTCTCAGGACTCCCCCCTTCAGATGGGCCCGGTCAATCTGGATAGGCTGCATAGAACTGTTGTACGAGGTCGGGGGGTGTAAGTCCATGAAGTGCTGAGGCCCCCCCTGGTGGATTCGGGAGTCTAGAATCTGATGAACCTTGTATTCTTCCTCACCACTGACCAAATTGGGTGGAGGTGGAGCCAGGGGTGGAGGTCGGGCGGGGTCCAGTGCTGCAACAGGGACAAAGAGGGACCGATGGAAAACCGGGTGAATACGGAAAGTGGCTGGGAGTTGTAACTGAAAAGCAACAGGGTTGATTTGGATAAGGTCCCACAAACCGAGGGGCCAACTTGCGCGACTGGCCAGGTCGGTGTAGATAATGCGTGGAGAGCCAGACCTGGTCCCCAGATTTCAGAGGTGGCCCTTCTTGCCATTTTCTGTTGGCCGCTGTCTCGTAGGCATTCTTAGCTTGCTGAAATTGCTCTCGGAGCAAATCTTGGAGAGCTTGCAACTTGCGCACGTGGGCATTAGCAGCAGGAACTATGGTCAATGGCAGGACAGCTGGGAAAAATGAGGGTGGTATCCATAGGTGGCTGCAAATGGGGTCTATTGGAGCTGTTGGAACACACATAGGACAAACCCGTATGTATCCTGCACAGAGACGTTGACAAGGTACTCAATGCTTTCAGTTAAGAACTCCGAGCTTAATAACTCTTAGGATAGAATACATTAATTAATTAATACAGTAATACCCTGTTTCCCTGAAAATAAGACCTAACCTGAAAATAAGCCCTAGTAGGATTTTTCAGGATACTCATAATATAAGCCCTACCCCAAAATAAGCCCCAGTTAAGTGAAACACCGTCCTCCACCATTGTGCAGAAACCAGAAGATGACATGACTGTATTTGAATAAATGTACTGTAGGTTGTTGTACATGAAAAAAAATAAATAAAGCATCCCCTGAAAATAAGCCCTAATGCATTTTTGGAGCAAATATAAGACCCTGTCTTATTTTGGGGAGAATACAGTAGTTCCAGGGACTGTGTGTGACTGACAGAGTTAGGAATGATTGCCAAAAAAGTATGCAATCTGGGAATGGAGACTGGTTAACAGAACAAGATGAGAAAATGCTGTTTGGAATGCTGTGGTATCAATGAGTATGAAAGGAACAGACAGCTGGGAAAGGCAGTAGCCTTATACATTCATTCTTAAAAGACAAGAACACATGCAATGAAGAGAACATGCTATCCCTGTTCCCATCTGTTGTTGATTTAATAATGTGAAAGCAGTAGTCTGCAGAATAGTGGGCTGTTATATCCATGTGCGTTCTCTGTGTAAACCAGAACCCTCATCTTTCCATGTTCTGCCTCATGTGGAGAACCAAAACAGATACAGATTCTTCCTCTTCCAATGGTTGCTTTTGCATGAATAAACTGACAACAGAAGGAGTGGAGCTATCTCTCTCCTCACCCTATATGCTTTGAGAAAGACTGAAAGGACTTAAATATATGAGTAAGGGAAAAGTATATTAAAGTGGTTAATACCTAGTGGTCACTTAGTGTAACTGGAACCAAGAGGATAGTTAGGAGTCATATGTAAAAATACAGTGACACAGTACTGTAATTCATAAAATAATATTTGTTATTTTTTATATATAACAATACCCACTTGTTGGTTACTATTACAGGGGATAGTTGATTTGAATCTAAAAGTTAAAGGTAATATGACAAGACCTTATACAACACTAAGAATCTGATCTTGTAAACATCTTGGTAGAAACATAACCATGAAGGAGAGGATGACACCATTTGTGTTTGCTCAAGGGGGTAATCTGTGTAATTTAGTAGCCACTAGAGATGGATGGGGAATGAATGCTCTCAGGTGTTGATACAGGGTGGAATTGCCCCAGATGGCACCAGTACTTTTTTAATGGAATGAAACCTGCTTTGTTTAAGGAGAATTTTAATGGCAGTGTTATCTTAGTAAGAAAAGTATATATTCAGAGCTGGCATTAATTCTAGTGAAATGCCACTTTAACTGAAAATGTTGATAACGGCAAAAAAATCATTTACCATGCATTCATCCAGAAGCACTTTTGGTTCAAGCGGTGTGTTTGCTTCAAACGTCTGGCCATTCCATCCTTTGAAGGTGACAGAGGGTTTCTGAGCATGCAGTTCAGGGGTTCCCCATACAGGAGTGTTTAGACAGTGTATTGTGATTGTATGGGTTGCTTCTGAACTCAGCAAGTGAAGAAAATTCATCTGCACTTTTCCGATGCCAAATTCCAACTGTTTAATAAAACACACATTATTATGCAAAGCAAGATTATACTTCATATCCACAAAGAGCAATGAACCACTCAATGTAGAAATACCTTTCCAAGTACTTCATAAGCATGTATTTCCACTGATACAGCAAAGTATTGGCATATAATCTGTTAAAGTCAACTATTTAGACAGCACATCCATGATTACTAACCACAAAATATGTCCTTACAAAAAGATTTATGCAACATTAATATGAGAAGGAAGATGAGGACATGCAGTTCATAATGTGAAAAATAAAATTACATTCTTTATAGTAATGCCTGTCCTTTAAGATGTCATTCCCATATGGTTTCCACTTATGGCATCACACAGACACTGGGGCCACATTCCCAGTGTTTCTACAGCAGTCCATTAGCTTGTGACTCCCAGGGTGTAACGACGTTTGCAGACAACTCCCATCTTTTTTCAGTTTTTCCACTCAACCCACCAAATATTTTCTGAGCTAGGGTGCAGTGACAAAATAACAGAAATTACTGAATAATAGCTGTACTCGTAGCTTTGCTCTGTGTATGTTGAGAGCCTTACACATGGCAAGGTCTAACCTAATCGAGGGTGAAAATTTATTCTTGCTTATTAGGATAACTGTGAATCTGATCCTTATGAAGGGGACTGGTGGAGTATGATGTTAAAATAGTCTCCAGTTTCACCCCAGCTAAGTTGGGCTGCATCTCCCATCTACTCCTGCTAACATGCATGAGGACTATGAAAGTTTGAAGTCCAGATGTCTAGAGGGCACTGGTCTGGGAAAGGATGGTCTAGAACCCTTTTAAACCACTGCAGTCAAAGAAAGTGGAGCATGCCCATTGTAATATCGGGGCTAGCCCTGACATTAGGCCGGGTAAAGTAGTAGCCTCTGGCTGTGGAGTGCTGGGGTCAGTGAGTGATCCACTCCCCCTGTTGCCACCGTCATCCTAGAATAAGGCCAAGCAGATCTGGATGTGAAAAGAAGGAAGTGCTGCCATCCCAATGATTTAACCAGACAAGGAATGAGGCTGTTGCTGCCACCACTTAAGTTTTCTTCCAAGTCACGACCTTCTCCCCTCCGGGCCCCCATCTTTGTTGTAGAGAGGGAGCAAGAGGGCTGCTTTTTTCCCCTCCTCAGATCCAGACCTGCTGCCTCCCTCCCCTACCCCAACCAAGTAAGACAAAAACGAGGAACGGTGAGGGGCGGCAACAATGATGTGTAACAGCAGGCAAGGCAGCCTTGTGCATGTTGCCCACCTCAACCGCCAAAAGAAAAGGAGGTTTAGGTGGTTGAGAGCTAAAAGCAAGCTCCAAGCAGACTGAGTGATTTCCAGGGTCCGAAGGTTCTGAAACCAAGTCACTAAGAGAGGGTGGAAGGGGATGATGGCCTCCTGAGCATTCCAGTCGGCATTTTTCCTCACCTTCCTTCTCATTGTGACTTGATTCAGACAACCCTTAGAGTCCAGCGTAGAAGAAACTGCCTGCTCTGCACAAACTTGAACTTCGCTGGCCTTTTAAGCCTTCTCCTTCTCTCCTGGCAAAGGGAGTACAGAGAGTGCCCATGTGCCCTTGGCTGCCATCCTTCATCATGACCACCACCACCAGCACCGGCATTTTCTTCAACCTTCTTGTGCCATCCTTCTGCATCTTCATTCTCGGGGTGGGCACAGCTCTGCTCCCTTCTCCTTCCTAATGTTTTGCAGTGGGGAGGGGATGTACTGCCTTTCAACCACTGCCACTACCTCTTCCTCTGGTAAAGGGCAAAGCAACGCCTCCTTGTTTTGCAGAGTGCATGGCTGGTTGGCGAGGGTGATACAATGCTTCTCATCTCCAACGGCAGAAGAGCTTGCTCTGTCCCTGCATACTATTACTCAGAAATGCTGATTTCCCTCCTTTATTTGTTCTTCTTTGAACAACCAAATAGTATAAGAGCAGGCATTTTGACTCATGCCAAACAACATGTTACACTCAGCCTGTGTGTCCTTGTTCTCTGCAAAGCTCTTTCCCCACCTGTTGCTTTTCTCTTGCCAGTGTTTTGAACCTGTTTATTTTGCAAACATCAGCCTGCTACCCTACAGGGGAAAAACAGCTTGGAGGAGAGGGGTTCCAAGAAAAAAGCAGCTGATGGACATTGTGCTGAGCAGATCCTTCCCCTGCCCCTTCCCATGTGCTAAGCACCTTTCCCTTGGAAAACATGTTGAACAGGTTTTCAGGCTGAGTTACAGACAAATACAATATAAAAGCAAAATGTGCTGCTTATAGGCCACCCCACGGCACTTAAAACACTCTCCAGGAGGTTTACATGCTAAATATGAAGGCTAGACATCCCCCCCCCAAAGCAAACTGGGTACTCAATTTATTGACCTTACCAAACAACAGAAGGCTGGGTCAACTCGAGCCAGCTACCTGGGATTAAATTCAGGTCATGAGCAGAGTCTTGGCTGCAGTATTGCAGTTTAACCTCTGTACCATGAGGCTCCTGTAATGAGTTGTTTGGCACCCAGAAATCTATACATGGCATTACAATTACTCACTGGTTTTAATTTACTCACTGTATGAACTAGTTTTTTTAAGATGGACTCACACAGTCATTCAACCTTTATCTAATACAATAAAGCCCTTCAAGATGTTTTAGCTCTTACACAAACACAGCAAGGCTACGCATAAAAAGAAGAAGTAGCAGAAACAGGATTATTATATGAGTCTTACAAAAGAAAACAGTATACCTTTGCCACAGATACGGGTGACAAACATGTTTGGCCACCAGCAGTGAAGTTGCAGAAAACCTCAATGGCATCAGAAGGGCATCCAATATTTGGATCAATCCAGTATTTTCCTCAGTTGAAAAAATAAAAGACGTAAGAATTACAACAGGTTTTCCCCAATAAAATCCTCAATTTCATTTATTTTCATTTATTTTAATAAAATAAACTTTATTTTCCTCCTCCCCACATACTGGTATGAAATTTTATCTCAGTATGTGGGGAGGGGGAGAGAGAGGATAAAGTTCCCTCTTTAAATTTTCAGCTGCCTCAAGAGAAGAGGGCAGGAGAATGAAACCTCACAGAGCTTGGACTCTCTTTCAGAGAGAAATCCAGAGCAGGAAAATAGGTCACTCAGACTTCTCTTTCCTTTGCCCAACTAGCTTTCCTGCAAATGGTGGCACAAGTGCCATGTTTCCCATAGCAATAGGGTCCTGCGCTACCTGAGCCCTACAACACTGGCAAGAGATTTATCTAAAATGTACAGTACCTGGGAAAACTTTGCTGTAATGTCCTTCCAACATGGTAGCAGTATCTCAGAGGGACCAAATCCTAATACCCTGCCAGTTCCTGTCATGCTGTGCATGCCATTGCTATAGAGCTGGGGTCCCCAGCCCCCGGACTGGTTCTAGTCTGTGGCCTTGCCAGGACTGGACTGTGGAGACAAATCTCCTGCCCCCCCTGCACACGCATGCACGGCCCCTCCCACACATGCATGGATGCCCTCCCGCCCACCCAACCGCTAAACCAGTTTGTGGAGGCAAAAAGGTTGGGTACCACTGCTATAGAGGACAAGTTCAGATTTATACACACTGCAGTTAAAGCCCCACAACTCTGTATAATTTCATAAATAGTTCCTCAGTTCTTTGTCAAAAAATATACAAATAACTTGTGTAGGAAAAGACAATGTGTGTAATTCCTTCGAATCCGTGCCATTCGCTTTGAAAGCATGCCTGAATACATAAACTACACTTGTTAGAAGTATACATTCTGATTTGTTGCCGGCATGGAAAAAGTACAATTTGTTGCAACCAATGTGATTTTTAAAAACTCATCTATTTGCAGACTCCCTTAAGAGAACAATATTTGGTAAGAAAACATCAGTATCTGAATTTAAGTCAGGTTCTGATGGAAAACTTACCATCAGATACTTTACGTTCACAGTTAAGCAAATCTTTGCAGATACGTGCTGGGTTATCTCGAGTTCCTAGTGGGTTCTTGATACTGTGCAGCAAATTGCTAAGATAATGTAAGGTTTTGAATATTTCAGCACTGTGATCCAGCAATGTTATTTCTGTATTCTGATAACTCTGCCAAAAACAAAACAAAACAAAAGAGCCCAAAACATTTGACAATCAAGGCATCAAAAATATATCATAGTACTGGGAAACAGCCAAATCCCTAACTCAGCTTTTAAGATATATTGGTTCCACCACCATGCCAAGCTCGTTTGGTGAGGACATGAGAGAGGGCTTTCTCAGTGACTGCTCTCAGGCTTTGGAAGGACATACCCCAAAGAGCTAGGTTTTTCTATCCCTTAACTGCTGGGGAAGGGGCATAAGAGTTATGTGCTGATGCTGAACTACACAAGTTTTTCATTTTCAGGCAGGCTTTTAGCAAATGGTTTCAAAAATGCTAGCTTTAACTTGCAGGTTTTAAAGTGTTTTGGGACTGTTTTTAAACTTAATTTTTTCAGTGATAATATATGTTTAATTGTTTTTTAAATATGATACAGTACTTATATAGTATTTTAAAATCTATTGTTTTATCTTCTGAGCTGCCTTGAATCCTCCTTAGGAAGAAAGCCAGTATATAAATAATTTAAATAAATAAATAAAGGCATGAAGCCTGCCCCTTGGGCATTCTCTCTAGGTCAGCGTAATTTAGATGTCTTTAAGAGTGGGGTCATGGACATGAGGCTCCCAGAAAGGAGAATTATAGAATCTATAGTCCAAAAGATCCATACTGCACATCCCTATATGTAAACTGAATGATAACAGTAAAGAAATCAAAATTGTTGAAAATTTTCCATACACTTCCCCCTTCAACAATGCCAGGCTTAGGGACTCCAGACCCTTGTGTAGTTCAGCATCAATGTACAGTGGTGCCTCGCTTGACGACGTTAATTCATTCCAGCGAAATCGCTGTAAAGCACAAACATCATCAAACGAAATTTTAAAAAAACATTGAAATGCATTGAAAACTGTTCAATGCGTTCCAATGGGCTGAATACCTGCTCGTCCAGCGAAGATCCTCAATACGGCGGCTATTTTCTGGTGCCTGTTAAGCGAAAAAGCCTTCCTAAAAACAGCAGGGGGCCATTTTCTTCAGCCGGCGGCCATTTTGAAACCCGACGACCAGCTGTTTGCTGATCGTCGTAAAGTGAAAATCGGTTCCCAAAGTAGGGAACTGATCATCGCAAAGCGGAAAAAAAACATTTAAACCATTGTTTTGCGATTGCAAAAGCAATCGCAAAAACCTAATCGTACAGCGATTTCCTCGTTAAGCGAGGCACCACTGTATAACTCTTATTCCCCCCCCCTCACAAAGCAGTTAAAGGATAGAAAAAGCTTCTATCAGAGAGGGAAATGGAGACACAATCTTTCCCCCTCTCCAAGAGCAGCACAGTGCTGTGACCTCCCCTGACCTGCATCAGCCACCTGGCATGCTCCACTCCCCATGTGGAGCTGCCATGCCAGGAAGGAGGCCAGCTACGCCGGGCGCTGCCATTCTGCCAGCAACAGGGGCCTCAGTAAGTGCGAGATCCACCTTTCTCAGGCTACGTCCTGGAGACAAATAGCAGAACAATATTCACTGAATATTTATATATGTAATGTTTATTTATTTATTTATTTATTTATTTTAATGTTTACTTTAAAAATCCATGGATAACCAAAACTGTGCTGCTTGGACTCACACAATTCAAGGGAGAAGTGTACTTCTGTTCAACCATCAATCCAAATGGAAATTCTGTCTAAGAAACCAAAAGAACACTGGGACTTGGAAGTGTGATCTCTCCATAGAAGCCAAAATGACTGAACTGAGGCTACTGTACTTTGGACATCGTATGAGAAAACAAGACTCACTGGAAAAGCCAATAATGCTAGGAAACAAAGAAGATGTGTTTAATTGTGAACTGACACAATTAAGTCTTTAGTTTGCAAGACCTGAGGATGGCTGTTAATGACACATCCTTTCAAGTTCATTAATTCACAGGTTTATCATAAATTGGAAGCAACCTGACATCAAATAGGAACCACATGTAGAAAAAAACTTCCTTTTGTCTGTCCTTAGTCTCTCATAATTGGATGACCTTAGGTTTCATCATCACAACTGAAAAAGAAAGAAGCCTTTCCTTCATTTGTTCTCTCCATACATGTTTTATACCTTTCTATCAAGTCTTGTTTATCTTACCTCAAAATCTCTAAACATTGCCTTAGGAGGAATTGTTCCAGCCTCTTGATTATTTGGGTTGCCGTACTCTGTAACTTCTACAATATTGAACTGGCCACCTTATTACAGATTTGTCTAAAGGTATTTAAATACTGCCAGATTTATTTTAATTTCCAGTGATGGACAAAATGGAATTTATCTTTTCACAGCACAGTGGGTCAACATTCCCATCAAACTCCAAGATTCCTTTCTTAGTCAGTCAATTCCAGTTCTGATCCCATCAGACTACATTTGAACATGTTTTCTTTACAATAAACATCTCCTTACAGTTACTTATGCTGAACTGCAATTGCTGTTCAAATTGTGATATCCCCAATTTGTGGAGATACTGAATAATTTGCTAACAAAACAGCCTACATTTTAGTTTCAGACAGTAAAGCCAAAGATTTCAAAGACTCCCACTGAAGGTATCTTTTTATAGTCTACCATTAATTTTCTCCATACCAAGCAGCATATTTGAAAATATGTGGATAATGAAATATATGTAAAAATGTACCTCATCCTGATAAGCTCATCAATATAATGGAAATATGCCAATCTAAACATGTAAATACAGTTACCTCCATCTGTAATGCAGCATTTGATTCAATCAAGGCTTGAATAGCAGCGTTGATGTCAATTAGCTTCTGCATAGAATCAAACATTTGCATATCAGCAGCATAATTAACCAGCAAAAGTTCAAAGTTAATCTGATATATTTCTTGCTATAGAAGAAACAGATATTTTGCTACAGAAACACTTCCTGCAAAAGACTAGAGATCTGCTTACTACAAGAATCTTTGAACAGAATCATAGAATTCTATTTTTTCTCTTTTTTTTTCTGCCAGACATTATAGGGTTTGTAATTCCTAATACTACAGTTTCTAGTCCTTGAAAATGACTCATTAAAAGTAACAACGTAATTTAAAAAAAAACAGGACCAGTATCATTACCTAAACTGTTTCAGTGAACATAAGATTAATTCTGTTAAATGTTATCTTGGGAGTAATTTTTGAGAATTGTTGTCCATTTCTCATACTTTGGAAATTAATGTGCCAGTAATGCATCACAAATGAACAATATAATAACCTACTTTTTTTCAGATTTTATACAGTATGTGCAGCAGCAGCAATATTGACCACAATCCTGTTGCTTTGTGTAGTAAATCACACTAGAGTAATCCAATAAATCATTGGGAATGTAGTGAGTCAACTCCTCCATATGTTCCATTGATTCAAATGGGCCAGCTCTAGCTGCGACTCCCTTTGCCATGGTAAGCAACAGTTAGGGTAAGCTCATTTGAATCAATGGTACTTACAGAAGATTTGGCTGACCAAAACCAACTGATCCAATGGTCCTATTCTAGCTACAGGATTTTGGCCATTATGTTATATACTACTAAGACCTCTATTGATCCATCACTTTTTTGGATCATCTAAGAAAGCCTGAAGTGCTGAAATACAAGTACTCAAGGGAGATAGGATAGTGTGAAAATGTTTACAGTTTCAGCCAAAAGAGAGACATAGCAGGAAAGTGTTCACAGCAATATCTGAACAGATTACTAACAACATGAATAACTTTTGCTTTATAGCACATGTGTACAATGGTTAACATATGCATAATGGTTCAAAACATCAGTGATATGCATATGCTTAGATATACCTTATTTATGTATATACATACACAAGAGTTTAATGCATATATCAAGGAAGATGAAAGGCAGAACTGGCAAAATGTTTCAGCACGATGTATTTTGAGGTGACAAGCCTAGGCATACTTTTGGGGCAGTAAGCCACAAAGAACTCAAAGAGTGTCTACTTGAAAGTAAGAGCTTCACTCACTTCTAGGTAAATCTGCATATGTTTGAACTTTACATCACTTGGTAAGTGCACAAAATCTCTGGAATCTATTGCCATGCAAGCTTGGCTGAAAGGCTGCTAGGTAGAATTACCCTGTTCATCTCCTATACATCATTATTAATGGATGTGCTGGAGAAGTTCCAGAGGCCTGTTATGTAACTCTGAATTTTATTACCCACTTCTAAAACCATGATAGGAAAACATGGTACTTACTCTTGGACCAGGTGCTCCTGGTGGACCCTGAAAAACAGAGGGCGGGTGGGGGGGAGATAAATGAGATATAAGTCTAGTTTTATATAGTCACAATTATTTTAAAATAACTTTGAATTTGCTTACAGGTAGACCTGGATGACCTCGTGGTCCTTGAGGGCCCTGTATAAAGAGAAATGATAAAAATGCATGAAATATAGTTGAAGTGTTATGTTTTTAAAGTTTGCATTTCACTTTGAAATGATATAAATGAAACGAAATGTAATTTACAACAAAGAACAACAATTTAAATGTGTGTAATAAACCTGCTATAAAATGGGTGAGGAAGACAAAAGCTATTCTCTACTACCTCTTACCTACACAAAGATTTCTCAGTACAGGAGATCATTTGGTTATGTTCCTGAAAGAGCCTGCTGTGTATTTGTAAGTAAATGTGTAAACTTTAAAAAAGGAAGTTTCCAGCCAAATATTACTGGGTGACTGAAGTTCTTTTGCTTACCAGTCACACCTTAAGATATTTTACAGTGCATTTACCATTTAGAAATGATTAACTAAAGGATAGATGCATGTTACAGTCACAAGTAACAGTAAGCAGCCAACTTGTCTATCTGTAACATTCAGTTATCAAAATGCTTATTATTAATTTATTAGTATCCATAAGGTATTGCAAGCTGCAGACTTAAATGTACACTGCGTACAATTCTGTTTTAAAACCCTGTACAAGCATTTCATGTAGCAGGAATGGCAAACAGCGGCCCAGGTGTCGCATGCCACCCTTGGAGGATGCTGAGCGGCCACCAGAAAGTGCCTTCCTCTATCTTGAGAGGGTAATGACATTCATGCCGCTTTCACTTAAAGAGACTGGAGGGCATCCAATGTCTATATGCCCTCTTTCCCAGCAGAGATGGGCTCTCATCAGCCTACCAAAGACCTGTCTGATGGACTTCTGCTGGGGAAAAGGGCCAGTATGACATTATTGTTACTTCCTATTTCCCAAGAGAACAAAACACAAGTGGGATCAACACTGCACTTCTTCTTCCCTATCTATATTCTTTCATTCTGAACTGGATTGCTGGAAATTCAGGGTTCAAAATCTATCTTGCTTCACGCCAACCTGGATCATGTGTTTTGGAAGGCGGGGGACGTTAACTCTGTTCCCCTCTCAGTGATTCTGTTCTATAGCAGGAGAAGATTTAACTTCAGCCCCATTCGAGCAATCCACCTCAACATGGCTGGAGTGGGGAATTCAAGTTTCACCATCAAGCAATCTGGAGTAGGGAGACCTAAACTCACTCTCACTTCATCATCTAGATCTAGAGGCTGGTGATATTAAAACATCTGTGTTCCAGAGTTTGGAAGGAATGTGTTAGAAGTAACAGCATTGTGTAACCAAGGAAGTACCTGTGGGTGGGTGTGTTTGAGGTAACATAATGGCTGGTAAGGTGTATTCGATTATTCTTTACTCCTAAAGTTCTGCTAGATGAGGATTTGGAACCATTTGTACATTTAAAATATATACTGTACTATTGTTGTTGCTGAAGAAACTAAAAGGTAGTGCACTAATAATACATTAAAAAAATGCATGTTTTAAATTGTAAGCAAAATAGAAATAAAAAGTTAAAAAAGACAAAAACCATGGTGACACCTGATGTTGTAAGTAACCTTTATTGGCATAGGAAAGTTAAAAGCATGCAAATAGAAAAAAATAATAATAAATAGACATAAGCATAATAGTTACACAGCTAGAAATGTAAGAAACATAACAAGAAACACGACAGGAGATATTTAGGACAATCTGGTTAATTTTTAGAACCCTGGGAGGAAAGAACCTTTGCAAGGAACTCGGCTACTAAGGTTGTTGTTTCTTGTGAGTAGTCGTGGAGGAGGAAACCTGTGAGAAGCTGGGGAGGGCAGGAAAAGCCTGAGATAATTGGGCCTAAGGTACAAGCCTGAAGACCTTTAAACTCAGGGCAGCAACAGAGAATGTGTGTAACTGAGTTAGGCTCTAAACGTGTAACTGAGTCAGGCTCTAAACCACAGAGGCTGCAAATTCTTTGCTCAAAGGGTACCCGAGCATATCGTCCCTTAAGAACCTCAGAAGGGAAAATGTTCAGCCAGGCGAACATAAATGCCCTCCTGCTAAGAGGGTTCACCAAAGACTGGAAATAAGACTGTCCAGAACCAAAGGAGAGAAAAATACCGAAATGGATTGGGGAACATGTCTGATTCACATTGGTAACTAACTGGAGATACTCAGACTCCCATAGTCTCTCCTCGATAAGGGAAAGTACCTGTTTAAAGTTACTGTTAAAAAGGGAGTTTAAAGATATGCCAATGGACACGAGTTTGGTTTCACACCGCGTAAACCATATGGATTGATAAAGGTCTTTAAGTAGGTGAACAAGGAGAGAATCTGGGTCTATTTTAAAAAAGAGACACAACCAGAATTTAAAAGTGAGTGCCCATGCCGTCGTTGAGGGGAGGTGCAGGCCTAGCTCTAGGGCTATAGTAGGTAATTTAATTAGGTTGGGAATCCCTAGAATCCGTCTATAAAAGGAAGCAGCCAATAGATCAACTTTATTGTTCATGGCATTGATCCAGATTGGGACACCATAGAGCAGGAGATTAATCAGTTTAGCCTGGAAAATATGAATGGCAGCTGGAACGAACTGATTCCCAGCATTATGATGGAATTTAGTTATAGCTCTGAAAGGTGTGAGACAGAAGCTATCGCAGAGTCTCTATGTGTAGTCCACTTGAGTTGGAAATGAAGTGATATACCTAGGTATTTAAAGGATCTGACCTGTTCAATGAACTGGTTATTAATTTTCCACTGAAAAGGCTTCCAAGATTTTGAGAAGACCATAATTTTAGTTTTCTCCACATTGATAACAAGGTACCAGTACCTCTTTTGTTATATGCGGATGATGCTGTCCTTCTTTCTATATCTAGTTCAGGCTTAAAACAACTCCTTGTTTCAGTCATATTGCTGACACCTTAAAAACTTTTGTGGACAAGTCTGATGAAATGGACTTGTTCCACAAAAGCTTATATTAAAAAATATAAGTCTTTAAAGTGCCACCATGTTTTTATCTTTTTTCTATTTTGCTTTTACCTGTAATGTTTGCACTAACACTGCTATACCTCGTACAACTTTAAATTATAAGTAATGTTAACAAGTTACTTTGATAAAGTAATGCATAATTAAAGTATGTGTAAAACATTCCAAGCTCTGGTATCTCCTCCTCCCAGTAATCCAGATCTGGATACATAGGTGTGCATTTTCACAGTCCTTGACTACACATGTGGCTTTTGTAGTCATCAAGATTTTCCTCATGCCATGACATTAAGAAGCAGGTCATGTCTGCATGCTCTAAGTGTTCTGATATAATTCCTTCTTAACAGGTAAACTTGCATTGTTGTTGCTTAATGGAATGGTATTTTCTCAGATATGCTAAGCCCTGGTTCACGTACTGAGTATTAAAGATATATCACATAAGAAGCTGCCTTCTGGGGGTGATAATAGTCACTGGCCCCCAATGTAATTACAGGCAGTCATGGCTCCCTCCTTCAGCCCTCACTGCACCTAATGCTTTCAGGAATTAGAGGTCTGTTACCTTTCATTTCTGACAACCCTGTTTGTTTAGTTAGAAGGAACAAAGTAATGCTTGGGAACTTGTCGGTGGAGGGACTTCTAGCTCTGACAAGTCATGGTTCTCCCACTGTAACCTGCAGGAGGAACTGCAGTTATTATTTTTACAATACTTGAACCTTCTACAGTAAGAAAAAGTGAGAAGGACAACTGAGGCAAAATGATAAGACTACAAATGGATGACAACACTACATAGATTTCAATAAAATGTGAATGAATGAATCAGAGTAATAAATTGTTAATAAATGTGTCCTTTGGAAGCAGTCCTTGTTTCAACTCTGCATCTCTGATATCAAAACAAAGCTAGACCTCACGTTTCTGAATGAGCAGCCAGAAGTCCTCCTTATTCAAAGGGTGAGATGAAGACAGAAATGAAAAAAGAAGACTGTAGAACTACTTCGGAGCCACTGTAGTGGCTAGAAGCTTTCTTTCCCAAGGATGCATTGTCTTTTGAGGCAAATGAACCCACTACTTCAGCTTTTTTTTGGGGGGAACATACTGGAAATCTGGAAAACACTGATAACAATTATTTTTCTGACTCAGGACCTAATTTGCTGTATGGATAAAACCCAGGTTAGAATGTTTTGATGTTATGTACGGGATTGACCTTTTAAATCTGCTTAAATTTCACCATGATCAAAGGCTAATTCATTGGAGGAACAGAGTATAAATCTAATTTTCTAGTCATAAAAAAATATAAAAATTAATCTTTTAAGCAAATTGTTTAATAGTTAGCACAAAGGATCAAAGGCCAACCCTCTTTCCTTCAGAGAATCTAAAGACTTGATCCTACAGACATGTTAACAGATCTGCTTAACTTGAAATGTGTCATGTGTTGGACTAACAAAATATTAATACCTGATAAGAAACATGTGCTGGTAAGAAATAAGCTGCAGCTTGTCTAAAGAACAAAATCACTCAAAACAAATGAACTGACAGTTTAAGATTTATCATGTGTATGTTGGTAGAAAAAAGCCTTCAGCGTATTTTGAAGAGTGTGTTTACCACATTCATGTCCCACCTTTTAGCACAAAACGGTGTCCTTTCAGTGTTAATTTTTAAAAGGTATTTTAGAAGAGTAGACATTCAAAAATAAGAGATATACTTTGCTATATTTTTCCTGTGCATTCAGATTTGCAACTCACACGGAATATCAGTGAACAAATGAGAGGAAATAAATGGTAATGGGCAAGACTGATGTTTCTGGCATCGTATGGCTGACACACAGATTCTTCAGGATTAATGAGAAAGCGTATTGCTTAGGAGTTGCAAACACTTATTTAATAGCAATTTAAAACACATTCTGTAGAAACCCGATCCTTAAAACTGTCCCCAGGATTCTGAAATCACAGGCACTAGCCTAACATAGAATGAATGGCACTCATTACGACATTAAGGATATTTTTTGCCTTGACTTATTTAATAACTGATTGAAAAAAAATTCAAAATTTGTGCAGAGATGATTTCTTCCTCTTAGTGTAGCAGTGGTGCTTTGGAGAAGTACAGTGGTGCTACACTATTTAAAGATAAAAACAAAAAAAAAACTTATAAAGAAACCACTGTACTTCTCATATACTTCTTCAATATTAGGAAAACATGAAAACTCCTTTCATCTTTTTTCTTTTTGAAAACATTGCTGTGGCTCCTTCTTAGAAATTATGTCATTATTATTCAAAAATTAATAGTGATCGGTCTTTATTTTCCTCAAAGAAATATGTTCAGATTCAGTTTAGAAGTAAATGACAATTATTTAATGTCTATGAATATAGCTGACTGGGGGTGAGACATCCCCTGGTTGTAAAGGGCAAGTAATTTGATTTGTGCTGCCAAGAAGTTATAAAACCTTTTCTTGCAAATGCTGCATGCAGTGAATTCATGATGGAAGGAAATTACAAACTGCCACCGGAGAAGAATTTCAAAGCCCCAAACAATAATTAAATGAGATAGAGATGTCCATTTCCCACCAAAACTCCCTGGAATTGTCAATTAACTAAGAAGTGGAGTGTTTATGCAATAGTAGCAAAGAGAAAAATAGGCTAAAGAGACAAAAAGGAGAAGACCAACAAGAAAAAAGAGGAACATTTAGACAATGAATTTCCCAAAGAAAATTAAGAATCTCAAGCTGCAATTCTAAATGCATATAGTAAGAAATAACTACCACTGAGCACTTCTGGTACAGGACTGTACCATGTGCTGCATGTATCTCAGGAGCTGCTGAAAATACAGCTAATGCATGCAAATAAGAGAGTAAATTATGCAAAACAGTACAAGTATAAATGCATTTCATACAAAATCACAAATATATCATAAACCAAAGAACATTTAACTGCTGAAGAAGCAGCCTGGTTGAAACAAATTCAGTTTCTTCATTTTATAACTGTATGTCATATGATGTAGTCACTATCATGCGAAAATTTGTGATGTCACTGTTATTACTGATTTAGTTTATTATTTGAGATTTGTTATTAAACACATTTATATTGATTCTATTTTATGTTCTTATCCTTTTGATGGAATGCTGTACCATTCCAAGTAAGAACAGCATATTTTAGTTATGTTGTCTTTTTTGTTTTGAAAATGAAATTATTAATCACAGAAACCAGGGGTTCTTATGAAGCCATAGCCTGGCAAACTGCTACGACTGACCAGCTGAATATTAAAACAAATATTAATAAGGTCACTTCACCAGAATTAACACCAAATACTGTGTTTCCCTGAAAATAAGACAGGGTCTTATATTAATTTTTGCTCCACTAGGGCTTATTTTCAGGGGATGTTTAAATTTTTTTATGTACAACAATCTACATTTATTCAAATACAGTCATGTCATCTTCTTCTGGTTGCTGCACAATGGTGGAGGGTGGGATTTCATTTCACTGGGGCTGGCTGCGGAGTGGCGGAAGGTTTGAGCTGGCCCTCCCGGCTCGCCTCCTCACTGCCCTCCACCATTTGAATTTCCCGCCGTCGGCCCATGGAGGGTGTAGCGGAGCAAGTGGAAGGCGAGCTGGGAGGCGAGTGGCCGAAGAAACCTGGCCAGGCTCAAGCCTCCCAGCAGCAGCGGTCACAGGCTTTGGACGGGTAAGGTGCTCCTTTTTAAAAAACTGTTCTGGGTGGGTTTTGGAGTGTGGGTTTGGACTGGGGGGGGGTCTGTATTGTGTTCTGTTGTTTTTGGATTTGTGTGTGTGGTTTTTTTTTTTTTTGCAGTCCCAGCGTGGGACTTGCTCTGTTGTATTTTAATTTTAGGGGTTTTTTTTTTTTTGAAATGCTGGAACAGATTACTCCCGTTCCCATGCATTTCAATGGGAAATGGTGCTTCGACTCACGAACATTTCGATTTATGAACGCCGTTCCAATACGGATCAAGTTTGTAAGTCGAGGTACCACTGTACATCTGCTGAAATACTGTTGCTTTGTTTTACACATAGGGAAGGCAAAAGGTTTTTAACATTTAGTCCCTCCTAGCTGGTGAAGACCAAGTCGTTACTGGGATTCTAAGTGATATGCATATTTGCTGGCTTGCTGCATGCTTGTGAATCCCGTTAACTGCCAGCTAGAAGGCACTGAAAGTTATGCTGTTCACCTTTTGCATCTGTAAAAAACGCAACTGGATTTCAGCCTAAAACTATGTGCGGGTCTGCAGCATCACTGTTGATCTCTCATGAATGTTTCTCCAATATATTGCTAAAACATGAAGGTGAGCTTATATGTTGTATAAAGCCCTAAACAGTTTGGGATCTGGATATTGGAAGAAGCACCTTTTCCTACAGAAAACTGCTGGATCACTAAGATCTGGTGGAGAGACTCTACTCTTTGTGCACCATTGATTTCATTATGTGAGACATGGGGGAAGGATTTTTCTGCTGTAGCACTCCACCTGTGGAAAGCCTTCCCCTTGGAGGCTAGATTGACACTGACACTAGATTATTTCTGCACCAATGCAGTTATTTATCAGAACCTTTGGAGGCTGTGGATCATGGCCTGTACAGGTTTTACTGCTATGCTTCTAATGTTGTTAATTTGAGTGGTTTGATTTTATATTGTCTGGTTTTAAACAGAGATGGGCAAAATAGCTGGTTCAGTGTGCTTCATTTCCCCGCTGAACAACTGATCTGGTCTTGTTGCCCCACCCACTCCAGCAGAGCTGGGATACTACCACTGAGTAGGCACCCGCTGAAGGAGGCAGGGTGCCAAACTGTGGATCAACTGTTCGGCTAGGAAACAAACCTCACTGAACCGCCGAACTAGCAGTTTGTGAAGTTTTTGGAAAATAAGCTGATCTTTGGTCCGAATTTTCTTACCCTATTTTCTTACCCACATTAATGTTCAAAATTTACTCTGTACTTTTAACTGAAGGTTTTTCTTCTTCACTTTTTGGGAAATTGCTCTATTTTTTAAAAAAATACAGGAACACAGAGATACTAATGTTGAGGGAAACAATACCTATCTTGACCAAACATTATATGGAAGATAATTTTTTAACTACTGTATAAATTAACAAAGTGAACAGTCAATGGCAAAATAAATGACACCTACTGATAAAGAAGATAAAGGAGTGGTCATTTAACCCATTTTGTAACCCACCTGAGGATCTCAGGGTGAGTTACAAAATGGTATGAAATCATTTCAAAATGCAGATGTATGAAAATGCAGATGTACAAAGTTTTACTCATACATCTCCCCCCTCCAAGTATTTGCTGTAGTCATCAAAGTCCGCCACTCTAAGAAATACTGTCCAAGATCAGACAAAAACTAGTACTATCTTAGTGGAACAACAATTGTCACTTTATAACTACTATCCTAAATATTTAAAGTGGCTTACCATTCCCTTTTTCCTTTCCCCCAAGACTACACAGGCTAGCTTTTCTCCCAGGACACATAATGAGGAATTGAAACCCCAACCTCTGACTTGGTAGTAGCCATAATAATAAAAAGGTTCCAAAAAGAAACAGCCATAGCCACACCACACACCATTGATGTCTTTGGGAGAAATAACATGGAAATCTCTCATCCACCATAAGCACAGAACTTGAAGCCTGATATAATCCAAGATCACCTGTCATAGCTTCCCCTAGAAAATCCTGGGAATTGTAGATTTGGTGAGGGTGCTAAGAGTTCTCAGTTAGTGATTTCAAGTTCCCCTCACAGAACTACATTTTCCAGAGCTTCCTGCAGAGAGGAGAGGCCACTTTCATCCTCATAGAGCTGATGTGCGGGTAAAGCTGAATGCAGCAATAACATTACAAAGTATCCCTAGCTGAAGAAGAAAAGATTTCTCATTCTGTTTCATTCCCATAAGCAAGTATCAAAAAATGATAGGGCTGGTAATGGGGTCTTGTTCAAAACACCAAAGAGCTACTGCCAGCCAGTGCAGATAATATTGAGTTAAGACAACACAGTGTTCTTACTTGGTACAAAGCACCTTCCTCTGTTCATAATGTCTTAGCACCCTCACCAAATCTACAATTCTCAGGGTTATCTGGGGGAAGCTTTGTCTCTTTATTCAAAATCTGTCTCTGTGCAATCTGTGAGCACAGTAACAGAAACTCTTGTAAAACCTGAAAAGTATTCCAGTAATGTGCTCTCTCTCTCTCTCTCTCTGTCTGTCTCTCTCTCTCTGTCACACACACACACATACACACAACATACAAAAGGAATTAACATTAATTGTTCTCACTTACAATTTCACCCCTGGCTCCTTTTTCACCCCTGGGTCCCTGAAAAAAGAAGTAAAATGAGTTATGTTTAACCTGTATGTCCCCAATCATTTGCTCTCATCACTGTTGAGACTTATAGCTCACAGACATTTCTATGTTTATATGAAGAATTACATTCCTGTTGACTAATTGGTAGAAATATTTACAGGAAAGAATTACTTTTTTGTGCTAGGGAAAACTAAGTATTAATGAATTTGTATAAACAAAATGCTCAGTATTTTGATTTAATAAAATTTTATGTCTTGTATTTTAATAAAGGATTGCAAGGAATGTATACTAAAAACAGCAAATGACTGATTAATAAACCATTTAGTACCATTAATCATACTAGGGCTTATTTTCAGGTTACGTCTTATTTTTAGGGAAATAGGGTACAGTATTTAAATAGCTCAGCAGCATATGGAGTGTGGAATGGAACTCACATGGCCATACCTAAATAATATTAATATGAATTTATTCACATGTAAGTTTAGAACATAGTTGTAGTTTTTATTTTTGGTGAGAAGGATAAGTAGCAATGATCCCTGTTTTTTAAACAGTGTGTGGAATTTCTAACTCTTGCCATTTTACCTACCTTTTATAGATGTATAATTTAGTATCACAACGTATCATGAAAAGATCATGACACCTCTTAGGAAGAAAAAAGGAAAACCATCCAAGATAAGAAGGAAAGGAAACCGAAGACCACATAGGTTGGAGCACATGAACTTTCTAATAGGTTTAAACTGTGCAAATTATTTTACTTTTTAAACTTGTTTTAATTTTTTTAAAAAAATTCTACATGTTTTAAACTGTTAACTTGATTTAGGTTCTTGTTGCAGCCCACCCTCAGATCTCATATAGTTCAATCATCATGACCATCATAAAAAAAAAATTATCAAAAAAATTATCTTGAGATATTGAGTATTGGAAAAAAAATGATATTTTGAAACGGTGTATAAGACTGTTTGGTTTTCTCCCGTTTTCTTCCATAATAATTCTCCAGCAGGAACATGCAGCAAAAAAAGCAAAAAGGCCTTTCCCTCATATTGTTCTGATTACAGAATTTTTTTATTATGGATAAACCCAACACTGTGAAATCAGGAGTTCACTTGCAAAACTAATTTTCTCTTCCTGTTCTCCTGAAGCCACAGGGGGGGGGGAACCCTCAAACTGCTTAAGAAATGCTTGAAACAGAAGCCTGAAGTTGACTGTTCTTCATTTAATTTTTTTTTGTAATATACAACATTTTCCCATCCACACTCTAGCTGCTTACTGTATGCTTAAAGCTGCTGAGTTAGGTGAAGGAAACTGGTTAGGCTCTGAAACAGAAGCCTGAAGTTGACTGTTCTTCATTTAATTTTTTTTTGTAATATACAACATTTTCCCATCCACACTCTAGCTGCTTATGCTTAAAGCTACTGAGTTAGGTGAAGGAAACTGGTTAGGCTCTGTTCCCTTGTCCCGCCAAACTACTACTAAATGTGTGTACTCAAACATGTTCAGATTAATGTGACTGTGGTTGGTGATGAATATTGGTTATTTTGAAAAGAAGCACCCCTGAGTCAGTCCTATCTGTATAAAGGAGAGAGCACATGTATCTTCTCCACAATTCTCAACTACTGTTCAAAGTGCAACAACCTTACTCTGTTGAAAGGCAATGGTAAGAAACAGTATAAAGGAAAGAGTAAAGTGGAATAAACTGTACTTACAGGCTTGCCAGCTGGGCCTATCATGCCTTCAATACCAAAAGGACCAGTGTTTCCCTAAAACCAAAAAGCAAAGCAAAATATGTACAGCAATAAATAACTGCAAGTGATCAGTGAAAAGACCATATTGTGACATTTAAATATTTTTTAAAAAAATGTAGTTCTGGGCCTTTCCAAACCACATGAGAGTGAAATGGATTTGAGTTGCCACGCACATTCAAATAATGCCAATTTTAGTTTCTGGATAAATGACGGAATCAAAAGACAAGATAATTTTAGTCTGTGTCAGTTTTGTTTTCATTCACATTTCCACTAGAATAAAGGCATTTATGAATATCTCAATACTGAAGGAACAGGAAATTGCCCATTCTTGTTTATCTAAGAATGAAAAATGACAGAGGCAGTCAGACTATACATTTCATGTTTAGACTAAAAGGAATCTCATCCAATATACTGAAAGCCAGGACTAATTTAAGAAAATATACAAAACCACCACTAAGTATTTCTAACAAAATGTGTTTTTTCAACATGACAGTATATAAAAATGGTGGTTATTTATGGTCCTATTCTGATAAAGCAAAAACCTCTCACTCAAACTGTTTTTCCAGTTAAACTATCTTATTTATTCATTCAAGTCTTTGTTTCAATTTTATGTTTTAGGGACTTCAAAACATGAAGAAAATTACAAAGCATTACAATGAGAACTATGATAAAATATTCTCCAAATTGTGTTCTTGGGGAAAGGAATTTCCCAGGTATGGCCCCTCCAATGAAAAGACCCTGTAACTCTGACACTCCAGAACCACATCTCCCTTAGGAGCGAGCCTCTTTAGCAGGTTTTCCATGTCTACTATTGGAGCCCTCATTGCTGTATTATGGGGTAGGAAGTTCTTCAAATACTATATGAGCGGGCAGCTTCAGAATTCAGCTGAAGACATCACAAAGATTAGTCTGAAATAGTAGGCAACACATTAAAAGTGTTCTGTTATTTTGTGTGAGAAAGCTTTCAGAAAGTACAATATGATGTGAGGCATACAGGACTGTCCCTGAAAATGGCAATTCCATGGCCAAAATCCTGTAGCTTACCCTAGTAAATTGTACTAGAGAAGGCCCATTTGAATCAATGGCGTTGACTCACTAAATTCCAATTGATTCAACAGGCTTACTCTATTACAATTTACTATAATAAGCACCAGGATTTTGGCCAATGACATGTTCTTTCTCCCTTAAACATGGAAGAAAGTAGGATGACATAATCCTAATTTTTCTCCTTGTGTTTTTTCAGAGCAGTGACATGAGAGAACACCAGAACAGGAGATCCAGGTGTACTTACAGAACAGCATGTTACAACATAACTTGGGCCCAATCTACCTGAAAGACTGTCTCTCCTTTCATGAGCTTGCTGAGGTTCAAAATCACCAAGAGAGTCCTTTCTCTTTGTCTCACCACCATCGCAAGTGTGTTTGGTGAGGACACAAGAGAGAGCCTTCCCCATTGTTGCTCCCAAGCTGTGGGACTTCCTCCCATGGAAAGTCAAGCTGGACCCCTCTTTGATTTCTTTCCACAGGGCAGGCAGAGACCTTTCTCTTCAGGCAGGCTTTTTCATAGTAACAATCTGCCTAAGAGGGGGGCTGCTTTCCCCCACTTCCACTTTATATATTGTATGTTTTAATATTGTAAGTCAGCTTGGATCCTCTTGAGGAAAAAGATGGGGTATAAATATTTTAATTAATAAACACACACACATACACACACAAACTGAGGAAGCAACCCAATGCAACGGTGCTATGTGAAATGACAGTCCAAGGTTTTCACTAGTGTGTAGTTCTGCTATAAATACTGGAGAAGGAAAAAATTTATGCAAGCCATTTGGTATTTCATCCTGATCCTGAAATGACTTAAGATGGTTTTTCCATTGACACACTGTCTGGCTCTGAGGCAGTCAATCAATTTATGACATTCTAAATCAGGTTTACAAACTGCAACACCCCAGTGAAGGTTTGCTAGTTCATTCTTGATTTTTTTCGTCTGTTGTGTCAATTACTCGGAAAGATGAAGCTAACTTTAACATCCTGCTAATTTGCTATTAAACTTCAGGTGATCAATTAATATTTTCTCCTTTAAATCTGCAAATAATAACCTCAGATAAATTAATATAAATGAAACAAACAGCTGCATTTTTTGCCTTTGAGTGTAGCCCAATGTGGGGAACTCCTGCTTAAAGGTTGTAGCTGCAATTCTGTTCCAGTGACGTGCAAACACTCCTGGCAGGAAGTGGCAGCTGCCAGCAGGCAGGATGGCCCCTTCTTCTGCCCTTTTGCTTAGAGGTAGAGCATAAGATCAAAGGGTTATTTTAGCCAATCCTAGTTACAATTAGGTAACTAGTATCCTATCTGTTTCTCTCATAACATACTATGTAATTATACTAAGTCAGTAAAAAGATCCCTCAGGGTATTGCCAGTTGGCTCCGCTGGCTTGGACTTTCGCTGCCTTGTTCTCTAAGGCAATTAGCCATTCCTTTGTTCTGTGACAACCCACAGCCCAAGACTTTCTGCTTCAAACAAGCTGCCTCATCCAGGATCAGCTCTGGTATATATAAATTCCCTATCCCCCCTATTCCCCCCCCCCTATTTTTGGGCACAGCAAATGGCCACAACAGGCCTGAATTTAAAGAGGAAGGAAGCAAATAAACAGCTCAGTAGCTGATAAGCTAACAGGCAGAAATACTTACTATTTGGCCTGTTGGGCCTTTAGGTCCCAGAATTCCAATTAAACCAGGGTTGCCTTCAGGGCCCTAAAACATAAATTGAAATAAAATAGTTATTCATAAAATTATTACTTGATAATAGCCCAACATTTTTGAAGTTATAGAAAATGCAGTAAAAATTTAGTAAAAGGAGTGAGTACAAAATGTGTAATACTTTATTTTGGACTCTTTTCTCAAGATCTCTGATTCAGTGTAAAAGTCTGCTTATAAAAAGGAAATGTGGATTAAGTCAAATTTTTACAGTTGCTTCTACAGCGAGCATCACCATTATTTCTTTATTCTCCAACTTCTGGGAATTCATAAAATACTTTGTTGAAGATATTTCATGAGAACATGGCCAAAACTCATTTTTTCAAAGGGCACAATCCAGCTCATGATTAAGCGGGGGACAACCAAGTACATGTTGAACTATCTCCCATAGAAATCACTGGGCCTCTAAAATGCTGAACTTCTGTATAAACTGTATCCAAAATAAACACATACCTTGGGACCTGGGAACCCCTGAAATCCCATTAAGCCTTGATCTCCAAATTCTCCCTGCAATATTTGCAGACAGGGAGATTAATATTTTGGAGCTAAAACAGAATTACTTTAACTGACTTCCATAAAATGGTAGATACATACAGCATGCCCTTTGGTGCCAGGATCTCCTGGTGGTCCTTGATCACCTTGGGTCCCAGGAAGGCCTCGTTTACCTTGCTTTCCTGGATGACCCTGAAGCCCTTGTTCACCCTGCAACAAGGGGGAAATTGCACATTTGTTATTGTTCTTACATAGGGGAATCAGATGGGCTCTCTAAATTTCTTTATGGAGCATTTATTAATAATTAATATTTATACAAAGCTGATATTTATGCTGAGGTTCAGCAGCAGGAATACTTCCAAACTGTATTCAGGATCTTAGTGAGCTTTGTCCGCCTCATCCTGATAAATGCAGACAATTCATAAGAATGAAATGTCTTTTTTTGCGGTGCCATTATTATTGCCTCTTGTTTTCTCATTATGGTTTTAGAAATAAAAGTCTTGCATGATCATGAGCGAGTGAGTAAGTAAAAGAAGAGAATTCTTCATTTCCTTGTAATACTGAATATTATGTTGTTATTTAAAAAACACAACTGATATACAAAGCAGAGCATATTCTAATACACAATCTATCACAGGAGACTAACCTTTTCACACCCCTGCCCTTTTGTTTTACAGTTTCTTGTTTTAATGAGTTTCTATAACAAGGAACACGGAAATCAAGAATCCTCCCACTGTCTACACCATTAACAGTCTAATAATGTGCTCTCCCTGAGAATCCACTTCTGTTTTTGTGAAGTTAGGATAGAAACAGAAGGGCAGTGAATACAAAATTGTTGCTTTTCTTTTCTGTGCAGATATTAACAGACATTTTTGAAATAAATATTTCAAAAATGTCTATTTTGGGTATGTGTGAGACACAGCCTGTCTAACTCTTGAACTTGTGCAGATTTCCCATCCTATTTTAAAGTGTCACGAGGTTCTTTGTATCTTTTTTGCAACAGGCTAACATGGCTGATCCTCTGGGTTTTGCTTTAAGGCCACTCACATACATGTAGTTTTGACAGAGGCAGCCATGTGACTCTGTTTCAGCTGAAAAACAAAGCAAAGCAAACAGAAAAGAAAAGCAAAAGTATTGTGGTACTTGGAAGATGAATAAATTTATTCCAGTGTGAGCTTTTGCGTCTTACCGTTTGCTTCTTCAGACACACTGAAATAATTCTCGTAGTCACAAAAGCCCCACAATGTGTGTTTTGATGTTCCTTTGTTTAACATATACACATTTTCTCATGCTTTTGAGAAGGCAGCAACATGATGCTCTACAGTCCACAATATCAGATGCACCAGCTTGGTAAAATCTGCAGTTGTATTATCTTACACCTGAATGAAGGGACAGGGAGATTTCAAACACAGTGTCCACCAGCTGAAGAAGCTGACATTCCAAGTACCTTTATTCCTGGTGGTCCAGTGTTTCCTGGCATACCTGGTAACCCCTTGGGTCCCTGAGTTCCAGGATATCCTGCCAGTCCAGCTATTCCTGGGCTTCCTCTAGCACCCTTGACAAGCAAAGAGTAGTCAAATTAAACATTTGCTCAATTTGTATTCAGCAACACCAAATGCACGGTTCTATCTGTTTAAACTAGGAGTTTTTATTCATAAATATATAGGGGGGTATATACTCATCTGTACCCAAATAGATGCATCAGCGTGCACACAAACCACTTTACAGCACAACACTGAAAGGATGGCATAATGCTGTAGATTACCATGCAACTATAACACTGTATAAATAATCCAGAATTAAGAAGAAGGGAGAGGAGGAGACTGGGAGAGAGGAAGAATTAAAAGAGCAACAACAACAATGGGACAATATCCGGAAATGCTATCAACATAAATTTATTACTACTTCAAAATTAAGTTGTGACATTACATAAACTTATATGCAGAGTTACTAGACCTACAAGATGTAACAATAAGGATCCCCACTGATTTGATTAGGCAAACATTGTGCTAAATTAAAGCAACTGGCTCCCTAACTTTCTATGCCATAAAAACACAAATACAGTATTTGCAAAACAGTATGGAGAAAACCCTGCTTATATGTTTCCACTGCGGTATGTGAGATGCTGTTGGAAGTCTTGGTTCTGAACTACAATGGTCCATCAAGAAACAGAAACTGCACAAAGAGCTAGATGGTAACTGCTTTCTGTATTAAAGATTCATAAGGAGTGATGACGTAAGCTTAGGAAGTAATTGCATAAATCTCTTGTTCCATGTTATGTTTAGAAATGTCAGTGATGCAAATAAATCATTTTAAGTCTCTTGAAGACAGAGAACACATCTGGAGGAAAGGTAATTTAAGTTCTACTTACAGGAAGGCCTCGTTGCCCAGGTAACCCAGGCTTTCCAGAATTCCCAGGAACACCCTCTGGTCCAGGATAGCCAGAAGCACCTTTCTGGCCTAAAGGACCAGGTTTACCCTGAAATACATTTGGAGTCTATTTGAATAACACCATTAACTGCAGACAAGTTATATTAATGCTATTTTTTACATAATAAGAACACATCACAGCCCAACTTGATTACTTGACTTTGAGAACAAGTGTGCTGTTTATTTTTAAATATGCTTTCTTTTTGGAGGGAAGTATGTAGGTTTCCCCTTTTATTTGAAAAAAGTAGTAATATCTGATGCTTATTTTGTCTCAGCTGCTCTAACACAGCACCAAGTGACAAAGCAAAAGACATTTAGAAATATACAACACAACTCCATTTTGCCTCAGCTGCAGCCAGTCGTTTTTTTGATGTTTAGTCGTTAAGTCATGTCCGACTCTTCGTGGTCCCATGGACCAGAGCACACCAGGCCCTCCTGTCTTCCACTGCCTCCTGGAGTTGGTCAAATTCATGCTGGTAGCTTTGGTGACACTGTCCAACCATCTCGTCCTCTGTCGTCCCCTTCTCCTCTTGCCTTCACACTTTCCCAACATCAGTATCTTTTCCAGGGTGTCTTCTCTTCTCACGAGATGTCCAAAGATGTCCAAGAGCCTCGTGGTGCAGTGGTTAAAACGCTGTATTGCAGCTAAAACTGTGCTCACGACCTGGGGTTCAAATCCCAGGTAGCCGGCTCAAGGTTGACTCAGCCTTCCATCCTTCCGAGGTTGGTAAAATGAGTACCCAGCTTGCTGGGGGGGCAATGTGTAGCCTGTATAATTAAAAAAAAAATTGTAAACCGCCCGGAGAATGCTTGTAGCGCTATGGGCGGTATATAAGTCCAAAAAAAATAATAATTATTGGAGCCTCAGCTTCAGGATCTGTCCTTCAAGTGAGCACTCAGGGTTGATTTAATTCACAATGCATAGGTTTGTTCTCCGTGCAGTCCAGGGGACTCTCAAGAGTATCCTCCAGCACCACAATTCAAAAGCATCAATTCTTCGGCAATCAGCCTTCTTTATGGTCCAGCTCTCACTTCCATACATCGCTACTGGAAAAACCATAGCTTTGACTATGCGGACCTTTGTTGGCAAGGTGATGTCTCTGCTTTTTAAGATGCTGTC